GTAGAGGTAGTAGCAGCAGCAGCAGCAGCAGCAGTAGTAGCTAGTACATTTAGCCCGAAAGCCTCGTTATTCCGGGTCGGAAGTTCACAGAGTTGAGGGCTTGTGCTGCAGGGGTCTAGCGTATAGGGTTTATGGTTTAGGAGTTTGGGGGCTTGCGCTAGAAGTCTTATGAAACTTCGCAGTTGAAGCCTTGAGGTTTTGTTTTAGTATATATAGGCGGCCTGAATGATTGGAAGAAGTTTCGCCGGTATATGTCGATATAGCTATGTAGGTATTCAGACCCCCATACAGGCTTTACATCCGAAACCCTCTCGAACATTTGCACTTGTAGATACCTGACGCAAATGAATAAATTCATAGTTGTCTTATGGGCCCCCCCCACGAAGGGCCCCCCCAAGTTTTCCATTGAATGCCAGGCCCGGTAGCCGCGATTTGTTCCTTAATTGCCCCTATTTGCCTATAATTGCCCTTGATTTGCCTCAAATTGCCCCTAATTTTGTCCATGGCCCAGAACCCCTAAACCGTCAAGTTCCTACTTAATGCTCTGTCTAGTCCAGCGTTGTGTGGTTCGTGACTACTGTCTGGGTTTGGACAAGGAGACTTAGTTGCTTCATACAGACGGTGGTGAGAGCTGTAGGAACTGAAGCGTGCCATACGGCACGGCTACGTAGATTGAATAAAGTCTAAAGCTTAAGCTTAGTGTGTGGAGTCGGTTAGGAGTGTGAAGTAGGGTCGACCAAACAAAACAAAGGGGCAAATAAGGGCAGATAAGGCGCAGATAAGGGGCAAATAAGGGCAAATAGGGGGCACATAAGGGGCAAATAAGGGGCAAATACCAACACCCACAACCCTGAACCCCTAAACCCTTAAACCCCTACAGCCCTAAACCCCTAAACCTCTAAGTTAAACCCCCAACCCCAAAACACTTAAACCCTTAATTAAACTTTAAACCCCAAACCCCTGAACTTAAACCCTAAACCTTAAACCCCTAAACCTAAATAAACCCTAAACCCCTAGCAGCTACAAACAGCGGTATTTCGTTACCTTTTGTGCGTTCCCTTACTTGCTTCCTTTTGTCTCTTATTTGTCGTTTTTTGTTTCCTAATTGTCTCTTATTTGCTGTTATTTGTCGTGTTTTTGCCTTGCCACGATTTGTCTCTTATTTGCCTGTATTTGACTAGTATTCTTGGGGGGGCTCTTCTTGAGGGGGCTCGTAAGACAACTATGATAAATGCCTTACAAAACCATAGAACTCTGTGCAAGGCTTGCAAAACTTCATGGGGAACCCTACATAGCCTCTGTGAGAACCTCTATAACACCTTGCAAAAACCGGGAAACCCTTAACACAAGGAAACAATACCCATTTAGTAAGCACTACATCTCAAACCCTCAACGGGAACGCCGGGCATCCTAGACCCAAAACCCTAAGCCCCTAAACTCTAAGCCCTAAACCCAAAACCCTAAACCCCAAAACCCCTACACCCCAAAACTCTAAACCCTGAGCGTGTCCTCGTGGACCTCCGGCTTGTAGAACCGAGAGTTGACCAAGTCGTTGACGCAGATGGTGACGCCATCCTTTAGGGTTTATAGGGTTTAGAGTTCAGATTTGGGGTTTTATAGGTGACGCCATCCTCTAGGGCTTATAGGGTTTAGGGTTTAGATTTGGGGTTTTATAGGTGACGCCATCCTTTAGGGCTTGTAGGGTTTAGGGTGGAAGGTTAGGGCTTAGGGTGAAAATTTAGGGTTTAGGGTTGAAAGTTAGGGTTTAGGGTTTAACTTTAGGGCTTAGGGTTTAAATTTCGGGTTTAGGGTTCAAATTTAGGGTTTAGGGTTGCAATTTAGGGCTGAGGGTTGAAATTTAGGGTTTAGGGTCAAAATTAGGGTTTGGGCTTAAAGTTTAAGGCTTAGGGTTGATGCCGTTGCTCAAACCCTACAAGACGGAACCATGAAGTCCTCCTTGCACTTGTGGAGGACCGGCGCCTCTGCCGCAGAGGTGCGGAAGGAGGGTAACCTGGGCTTTGAAGTAACCGTATAAACTTTTATTTCACAATGGTTCCTTTAAGGAACAGGTCCCAAACAAAGAGTATTAAAGTATGGTACTCCAAAGCCCAGTAACTTATCACTGACCTTCAGGATCAAGTCATCTTTGTGACCAACATCCTGGGATCGGAACAGGCTTGTTTCTTTTTCTATAATCTAGGGGCCTTAATTAATAGTTAGAATAGGGTTTTGGGGCCCATTATACTATAATTCATAAGAAGGAGCCCCCAAAATAGTATAGGTAATTATTAAGGCCATCTTTTTAAGGGCTTCTTGTCCGTCTGCTGAAGCGTTAGAAACGGCAGAGTCGAGGGAGCCTACTGGAAGCACTGTAACCTACCACTACCACCTTGGCTGACTTCTGAACGACTCCAACAAGTTAAACTTCCAGTCTCCTTATGATAATTCATATAGAAGCCCCAAAGTTAAAGTCCTGAGAGCCAACCAGAAGAGCACCAAGCCACCCTACCTCTTCTGAGGCTCCGACCGGAACAGGTTTAGGCTTGAGGTGTAGGGGTTTAGGGGTTCAGGCTGTGCGGGTTTAGGGCTGTAGGGGTTCAGGAATTTAGGGGTGTAGGGGTTTGGATGGCTATCTTGTCCTGTTCGGAGTCTAGGAGTTGAGGCTGCAGTTGCTGGAGTACTATCAAGTAGATGTTGTTCTGTGCTGGATCCGGTTTCCTGGTCGGCACCATAGGATTTGGTTTCCGTATAGCGAGATTTTTAACTAGACCTGAACTTCATGCTATGTTCCCTTGGTCCCCCTTTACCCCTAAACCCCTAAACCCAAAGCCCTAGACCCTGAACCCTACACCCTAAACCCCTAAACCCTAAAGCCATGCAGAGCCAGGGATCTCCCACCATGAGAATGGTCGCCGAGGCCCTTAAGACCTCGGTGCAGTCGCGCATAACCTCCTCGTAGATATTCTCCAGCCGCGAGTCCTGCTGAGTGGTCTTGCCCTAAGCACTACACCGTCAGCCCGAACCCTAAACCCTAAACCCCTAATCTCTAAACCCCTGAACCCTAAACCCTAAACCCTAAAAGAAATGCAGCGCCAACGACAAGGCCTTCATGTCCTAAGCCCCAAACCTCTTGCAACGCCTCAACCCCCTGTGACCCTTTTGGGGGTTTCCAAAAATAGGGGACCTAATATAGTACCCTAAGTAATAGGATCCTTATTATAAGGACCCCAAAATAAGGTACCCTGTATATTTGGAAACTCCCTGTTGATCTTGCGGAGTCCTGCGCCGGGTTGAGACGCACTCCCGGCATGTTCAGTGCCCGCTCGTATCTCTCCTCCGACGCAATGCTCTTTGGGAACCAACCCTTGACCCGCTCTTGACCTACCATAACTCTCTTCGTCAATAATCGAGTCCAAAAAAGTTTGAACTTTCTAATATAGACTAGATATATAAGGCCAAAAGGTTTAAAGTTCTCCCATTGGCTAAGTAAGCTAAACCCTAAGCCCCTGAACGAAAGCCTGACCCGAAACTGACGACTGACAACCCATACATGGAGCACAGGCCGGGTGGCCCAGTCTTAGAAGACAAGTGCCCCGTAAATCTGAACTTCTCTGAGTCACAGTCTGGTGCCAAAACCTGAACCTAAACTCTAAACCCTGAACCCCAAATCCTAGGAGCTCCATAAATTCTAAATCCTAAACGCGTAAGCCCGGCCCTTTTTTGAGCTCAGACTCTGCCGATCACCCGGCCCCAAACCCCAAACTCTCCAAACCCCTGAAACTCTGAGGGTTTAGGGTTTAGTGGGGTGAGCCCTAAACCAAACCACCTCAAAAGCCCCAAACAACAGACCTGAAACCCTAATAAGAACACCAGAAAAACCCTCAACCCTAAACCCCTAAACCCCTAAACCATAAACCCCAAAACCCCTACACCCCAAAACACAAAACCCTAAACCCAAAACCCTTGCTTGGGGGAGGCTCGAGAGCTGCTCGGAAGCTCGAGGACAGGCCGTAGGCAGTGGACAAGCTCGTCCTGAGGGCTTGAAAAAGGGGTGTCCTTTAAGGGTTTAGGGTTTAGGGGGTGTCTTTTAAGGGTTCCCCAGGATTTCATAGCGTTGTATAGCGTTTGTGTGGGTTCTATAAGTTAGGGGCTGAGTACCCTAGCCCAAAAATGGTGACCCTTTTGCATTATACTAAGATCTTATAAGCCCCATAAGGTTAAAGGTTACCTACTCAGCCCCTAGGATGAAGGTGTTAGAACCTTTCGAGGGATTCTATAAGGTTTCCTTTCAAGAGACCTTTTGGGCTTGGAGGGTTTAGGGTTTTAGGGTTTAGGGTTTCGGGTTTAGGGTTAGGGTTTAAAGTACGGGCTCTATGATTTAGTTGTAAAGATGAGTACAGGGCTTTGTAAGGGTCCATGGATCTAAGTGCCTTTACAAGGCTTTGGCGTTGTAGGTTGTTGAGAAGGGTCTATGCTCGGGGTATATGTATCATTGTACTGTAAGCTTTGGAAGGGCTTTCTAAGAGTTCTCCACAAAGACCTGCAGGGCTTCAGGGTTTCAGCTTAGGGGCTGAGTACCCTAGCCCAACAAAGGTTAACCTTTTGAATTATACTTTACATAAGCTCCAAAAGGTTAAAGGTTACCTACCCAGCCCCTAAATCAGAGGGTTTAGGCCCTAAACCCTAAACCCTGAACCCTAAACCCCGAAACCCTAAACCCTTAACAGGGGCTCCCTTAGGCCTTTATTGTAGGGATCTGGGGTTTGCAAAGGGCATGGTTTAGGGTTTAGGGTTTAGGTTTCACGGATTTAGGGATTGAAGCGTTCAAGGGTTCAGGGATTTAGGGTTGAGACTTCAGGAAGTTACTCCCATTATTGCTATGGTTGCAGGGGTAAGGCAGGTTTGTAAGGGTTTTACTACTGGCTTGGTTCCCGCCTGAATACGAAGGGTGTCCGCATTTAAGAGAATTCAGTCTTTAACAAGGCAATCCAAGAATGGAAGGTAACGAACTACTGCCGGGACCTAAAACATGAATTTTCAGATCCAGGCTTAACATGTACGGATAAAGGGCTGCCGGAGATGGGGCTGAGGCGTTGGCACTGAAGTTTGTGTCTGCTAACAATTAGCACTTTCCTTCTGGATTCTTTGGGTTCAGCGAATCCTTAAGCTTGCCACTTGTTGGTGCATATTGGGCTCATTGCCGGCTGGTGTTTGGCTGATATGAAATTAACAAAGTTGTTTAGGTACACCTTGAGAGCACGACCTGTGGCGTTCATCCTAGGTGGGGGAATTTAAAGGAACTGCAAACATGGACTCAGAGCCGGGTGTCGAGATCTGAGAACACAGGGCAGCGCACACGTCCTGCTCAGGGATAGCCCTAAGTAGGAGTTAGGATGAGGGGGACCCTTGGGGTATAGACCTTCTCAATAAGGTTCCTTTTCTGAGAGCCATAAGTAGGGTTAAGAAGTGGTCCCTTGAAGGGGTCTCCCTAATACTACCTAGAACTAAGCCCTAACCCTCAAGCTTGGGCTTAGGGTTCAGGAGATAGGGGGTTGCCGCTCGCACACGGCACTACCAGGCAAGTCTCCTAAATCTCCGTGCAAAAATACATAAGTAAATAAATGCATAAATAACTAAATAAACATATATATACACACATATATATATACACACATACAAACGAATAGATAAATAAATAGATAAATAAATAAATCTATAAATATATATATATATATATACACATATATATATATATATATACACATATATATATATATATATTCAAATACACATACATACATGTATGTTGCAAGATGTTGCCGTTTGTGTGTCCATGTATGCATACATAATACATAGCGAAGTAAATGTATACAAAACCAAACGGAAATACACATGTGTGCGTGTGTATTTATATATACTTGCACACGAAAGAGACAAGTAACAACAACGAGAGACCCACGGAGCGAGAGAGAGAGAGAGAGAGAGGGGGAACGCGAGAGAGAGAGAGAGAGAGATAAAGAAAGAGCGAGCGAGCGAGGGGGAGCGGCGGAGAGGGAGGGAGAGCGAGAGAAAGACAGAGAGAGAGAGAGAGAGAGTGGTCGAGATATCCACATCTTCTGAGCCCGAGGCCTGGAGCAAGGCTGGGCCGACATGCATCTGAGTTTTTCCTACGGTTTAGGGATTAGAGAAACCCTTTAGGGGCTTATGGGGGCCATGACTGGTCGTTGATGAACCGAGCCAGAATCCCGCAAATCACAAGGCCCCCCACACCTCATCACGCACACCTTAAACTCCTGAACACCTGAGTGGAAGAAGAACATACTACCGAGAACCTGGGGAATACCACCCAAAATTCTACACTGACCAATTTTCCAAAAGAGTCACATCAATCAACAAACAAGTTCCCAACACCCCTAAACCAAAAAACCCTCAACCTCAAACCTTAGTAACTCGTTACTTGCCAACACCCCTAAACCAAAAACCCTCAACCCTAAACCCTAAACCCTACCTCATCTCGATCAAGGAAGCCGTGGCCCTCAGTGCCCCGCTTGTTGATGAGCTGGAGGACACCGAGAACCTGGGGAGGGGGCAGTGGGAATCTGGCTCTTAAAGGGTTTAGGGTTTAGGGTTTAGGCTTTTGGGGTTTTAGGGGTCCCTAAACCCTAAAGTTCAGGAGTCTTAGGGTTTCGGGTTTAGGAGTCTTAGGCGGCTCAGGGTGTAGGGGTTGACCTCGGAGACGTATGGGAGAGGGGATTGCTGGGACAAGGGCAAGGGCTGTTGGTTTAGGGTTTAGGGTTTAGGGTTTAGGGTTTAGGGCGTTTTGTTGTAATGTTAGGTTTAGAAGTTTAGCGGCTTGAGCAAAGGCCTTTGATGCTGGAAGTCCATATGACGTAGGGCTCCTTACTCGTTATTCCTGAAATTAGTGGCCGTGAGCTCTTGCGGTAGATGGTCTATGGTAACTGCCGAATCTCACACCCAACTTCTCACTTCTTTGCGAAACCCTAAACCCTAAACCTAAACCCTAAACCCTAAACCCTAAACCCTAAACCCTACCGCATTGGCAGTCTCAGGGTGAGGTCTCGGCTCTGCGTGGGTGTGCTGCAAGTGCGCAGACATCCACTGGTATCGGGTTTGGGTGTAGGGCTTTCTGCTGAGAGCCTCGGGTTTAGGGCGTGGGGATTAACTCAGGCTGCTTATAGTCTCCATTTTAGTTCCTTTTTTTGGTTAACCCTGTCTAGAGTCACAGGTCCAATAGTAAGACATGGTCAACAAAAAACTACAATAGAGACTACTAGCCTTAGGACCTGAGTACCCTAGCCCAAAAAAGGTTAACCTTTTGAATTATACTAGGATTATATAAGCCCCAAAGGGTTAAAGGTTACCTACTCAGCCCCTAAGTTAATTTAACCCCAATTTTGGGGAACCAGGGCAAGGCAGGTTATTTAGGGTTTAGGGTTTGGGGTTTGGGGTTCAGGTATAGGAGATAGGACTAGGCGGACTTTTGGGGATATGGACCCTCTCAAAAAGGTCCTTATTTCAAGAGATCCACAGGTAGGCTTAAGAAGAGTCCCCTTTAAGGGGTCTCCCTAATACTACCAGGGAGGTAGGGTCTTGATGCCAACTTCCGGCCTTGGTTTCTTGATCGGCAGGATCGACGCCAATCACCGGCATGCATAGAACTGAACGGACAGACACGCCGGTGCCAAAGTAGTCATCATGTCGCTTCGGGTTGTAAAGCTCCGTCTTTCTCAGGTCGTCCACGTTCATGAAATGGCCAGTTTCGGCCACCCTGCCGGCCACACCCTCGCCGATGTGCAGATGGTCTTTCAGCGCGTGGTCAGAAGAAGAGCGCAAGTACAAATGCCGCTTCTCGTAGTCTACCAGAAACAGCAAAGCTGCCTCGCAGTCCAAAAGTTTCGTCACACTCTCGACCACGACGTCGAACATTTCATCTAGGGCCTTCTCCCTCTTGCGTACATCGCTGTGGTCCATGAACAGCAGTGGGAACATGCCGACCAGGCAACCTACACAAATGCCTACCAGTTGGCCCCAGCGCTCGTAATTCTTCGTCACGGCCAGGCCTTCTTGGACACGTGTTAACTTGGGTGCCTCCACCCCGTATTTAGCGGCCATTTCCTCCACCAATGTGCCAGAGAAGACGCCGACGGCATCAGAGAAAGTATTGCCAAGAGCTGCAGCAGCCATCGTCGAGAGCCCAAACTGTACACAAAGAGTTGCATCGATGACTTCCCCAAGTAGAATCATGATAGCATTGTCCAAGACACCAAAGCCAAAGAAAGGGATCGCAGCAGCAGTGGCCACCATCCTAAGCTGAGTCTTTGTTGGTGTGGCTTCCCCTTCCGAGGCAACAGTTTCAAGGACCTTGGCAACTTTGTCGGCGGTCGCATCATCCAGGAGTTCAGCAATGTGGGGTGCGACGGCTGGGTTGTGCTCGACCGCCGCCGCCAACCCCTCTACCAACTCCTGGGATCTCTAGGAGCCACCTATAGGCTTTTTGAGAACTTTAACAGTTTCAATAAGATAGGCTTTCTAGGCTTCATGCTTGCAAAGTTCGTGGCAAGCACGTTACAGATGTACATACATATGCACACAACATGTGTACACGTATCCAAAACAGGCATTAAGCTCATTAACAGGAACCCAGGCTCTCTCCGCGAAGTCGCACCCCGCGCTGGCGGACGGAACCTTGGGATGTGAGCAAAGGAGCGCTGCGCTCGGGTGCGAAGCCGCCCAAGCATGCCTTGTTAAAAATTTCAAATGGACAGAGGCCCCCAGAGACTCTTTTAAAGGCCCTGTTTTGCAGATATGGATATAGATAAACAAGTGTATACATACATATATATATATATATACATACACACACATACATATATATGTATATATGTATATATATATATATATGTGCGCATGTATAATACTATAGACTGGAGCTATAGTAGGGATCCTCCCTATTCCGTGAGAGGGGGGCCCTGAAGGAGTCTAAGGGTGCCTGGCAGCTTGAGCCAGCATATAAGGGGGCTGCGGTGTGCATCGTTCATTTAGGGTTTAGGACTTGTAGGGTTTAGGGTTTAGGGGTTTAGGGCTAGCGTCTGGGTTTTGGCTTAGGGCTACAGGTTTAGTCTTACATCTCCTTGTTCCACCCCAACAACCACCGAGTGAATATGAGAAACACAGGGTCCCCGAGGTAAGCGTGTCAATATAGGAGCCTTGCGAGTTCCCAGGGGCTGAGTACCCCAGCCCAAAAAGGCTAACCTTTTGAATTATACTAGGATTATATACGCCCCAAAATGTTCAAGGTTACCTACCCAGCCCCCAAGAGCTAGACGGCTGCTGTGAAAAAATTCTGAGATTTCTAGAGGGACTGTATGGAGACACAATTTCTAAATTCTGAAGAAACCCTGCACCCTAAACCCCTAGACTCAAGCCGTTTGCAGAAGCTTGCCGTTCCCTACAGTGCTCTGACTGAATCAGGGCTAAGCCTAGACCCTAGACCCCCTGATGTTGATTGTGTCCGGCTACACCTGAAACTTCCAACCCTAAACCCTGAACTTCGAACCCTAGGCCGAAATCTCAAAAGCCCAAATCTAATTCTGCTGAGCTTCCTCCTCAGGGTCCCTGAACCCTAAACCCTAAGCCCTACACCCCCCGAGCCCGAGCCACCAAAGAAGGGAGGATTTAGGGTTTTTTGGACTAAAAGGCTGGGGTCGTAAGGGTTTCGGGGTTTAGGGTTTAGGGTTTAGGGTTTCGGGTGGAGGGTTTAGGGTTTAGGGTTTAGGGTTTAGGGTTTAGGGTTTCGGGTGGAGGGTGGTTCAGGGTTGAGGGTATGAAGGCTTTAGGCTTTATGGTGTACCCCGGAAACCCAAAACCCCAAAACCCTACACCCTCTACGGAAGTTCAGGGTTGAAAGGCTTTACTTGGAGGCCCGTGGGACTTAGTAAGTAGGTTATAAGTAGAGTTATAAGTACCCTAAATGGAGTTACCCCAATTATAACCCTATTTATAACTGACTTACTAAGTCCCCCGGGCCTC